GGAAAAGACCCTGATGATGGGAAAGATTGAAGGCAGGAGTAGAAGGGGATCACAGAGGATGAGATGGTTGGATTGCATCACCAATTCAGTGGACATGAGTTTGAGCAATCTCCAGGAATTGGTGATGGACAGGGAGGCCTGAGTTGCTGCAGTCCATCGGGTTGCAAAGAGTCAGACACATCCGAGTGACTGAACTGAGCTTCATCTCTACTCTTTTGCCAATTTTATTGCTAATCCATGTCACATCATTAAGTCAATACCATTTTTTTGCTTCTTTAAATTATTTTTTCAATTGAAGTATAGCTGATATGGGACTTTACTGGTGGCACTAGTGGAAAAGAACCCACTTGCCAATGCAGGAGACATGAGACATGGGTTTGATCTGTGGGTTTGGAAGATCCCCTGGAGGAGGGCATAGCAACCCATTTCAGTATTCTTGCCTGGAGAATACCATGGACAGAGGCCCCTGGCAGGTTGCAGTCCATATGGTTGCAAAGAATTGGACACAACTGAAGCGACTTAACACACACAAGTATAAAGTGCAAGGAGGTTAGACCTCTGGAAGGCAGGGAAGTTCATGGGAAGAAGGTAATAAAAACTAGATTCATCTGACTTCTAATTGGTCCTCTGGGAACAGAAATTCATCAAGAAAATTTTCCTATCTAGACCAGTGTCCCACAGGGAAGTGTTGTGCTCAGATGTGAGAGAAACAATGGAAACAGTGCCTAATACACAGACATGGAGAGTTGTTAAATATCCTTGGCTACATCCCTCAATCTGTACAACCTTGGGGTGCACAGGGCATGGTTATTGGTTTTGGAATCCTACATCTGAGTAAGGACCAATGCTTCCCTCTTTCCTTCTGACCTGCCTGAGAACAGAGCTTCAGTTTTCATCATCAACCATCCACGGAGGAACTTGGATATCCACACGGGGACTTTCCTCTTGTCGTCCCCATCCAGGTGAGTGTGAGAGTTCTATAGGTACTTCAAGGAAGTTTGAGAGAGAATACAAGTGGAAAATTTTTTTCTGAGGTCACTTGAGAGCCTAATCAGCCCACACCAGGCCTGAGATATTAGCAATTGTTGTTTGCTAGGTTGACTAATTAACCTTTAATTCATTTATTTGATATGTTAAAATTTGTGGAGAAGTTTCTGATGAACTCAGCAGCACAAGTATCATTGTTGACAATTAAGTGATGGGAATGGAAATCCAGTTGGATGAGGATGAGGACGCAATGGGGAGCATAAAGGGTTTCCAGTAAAGTTGGAGCATGTTAGAGTAGTTATGCATTTAAGGAGAGTAAGAAAAGTGGGTTTGGAGGCATGTGAAGTGAAATATCCACATTTGCAAAAAGACTTCTAAACTTGGCAAGTATTTGAATGCCTTCCATTTTTATTAGAAAGACAAACACGTAAGGAAGTAGGTACTGCCTTGCAACAGTGTTCTTGAGACAAACATTTCACAGTATCTTTCCTCACATTAGGTGTTCACCAGAAAATATTGTGCTTAGAATGCAAAGAGGGATATGAAAAGGAGTCTTACTTGAGAATTCTTAAATACCAAGAGGTAGGGAAACAAGGGAGACATCTGGAAGGTAGAAGGAAAAAACAAGCAAATTCACATCTCTGTGATACTTACTAATTTAGTAAGAGAAAGGAACCATGCTAAACTTTTACACATATTGACTAAATTTGCCTTCCAACTTAGTAGGATAGATACCACTATCCCCACTATTTGAGTGAGGTCATTACTGCTTAGAATGGGTCTGTAGATCCACTACATTCAAAGAGCTGATATGTGATAGCACTGAGTCCCAAAAGTTAGTTTTCTGAATCAAAAGCTTTGTATTCAAGAACATTTACAAAAGTCTGTTACCATTTATCTTTTAAAATCCTCATCTATTGTATATTGTCTAGTTGTCAGTTGTGGGTTTATTCCCTTGGAAGTGTTCGTGGCTCAGTTGTTTCCAACTCTTTATGACCCCATATACTGAAGACTGCTAGGTGTCTCTATCCACAGGGTTTTCCAAGCAAGAATAATGGAGTAGGTTACCACTTACTACTCCACGGAATCTTCATGACCCATGGATCAAACCTGGGTCTCCTGCATTTCAGGCAGATTCTTTACCATTTGAGCCACCAAGGAAGTCCTTACTCCCTTTGCTCACTTTCTACTGGAATGCTCCTCTTGTCCTAAAATGATTACTCCTTCCTGCTTTGATAAATTGCTCTAGAATATTTTATGAGGTATTTTGAACATCAAGGCAATGTAACTGTTGTTGGAAAGCTACTAGAATCAAGGAACCATTCTCTTTTCCATGGTCTCTTAGGGACCAGCTGAGTTTATTAGATTTTGCTTTGAAAATGGAAGTATTCAATACAGGTTTGTAGGGGAGACCACAGTGTAGATCCCTGGTGCCATCAGACTTGTCCTAGATGATGAAACATCTGCATAACTGAGGTATACATACCCCAAGACCTGTGTCCTAGGACACGGCAACCACCAAGGAATGTGACCCACAGGTAGACCTTAGTTTCCTCCATAGTACTTTTCATCTCTCAGTTTCTTGAACGACTTTTAATTTTTTTTTTTAAATGCATGCATGCTTGCTCAATTGCTTCAGTCATGTCCAATGCTTTGCAAGCCCATGGACTGTAGCCCACCAGGCTTGTCAGTCCATGGGATTCTCTAGGCCAAAATGCTAGAGTGTGTTGCTATGCTCTCCTCCAGGGGATCTTCCCAACTCAGGGATTAACTCTGTGTCTCTTGCATCTCCTGCACTGCAAGGGGATTATTTACTGTTGAACCACAGGGGAAGCCCAATACAGAGCATAACGTAGTCATATTTGAATGGAATATAGTCCATGGGAAGCTTACCATCTAGAATTTGGATACTATTTCTACATTTTCTTGGTCAAAGATAATGTAGTGTTGATGACTTTCTTTCATCACTCCTTTCATAATTATTGTGGCCAAAAGTGAGAACAGCCAGACAGTAACAAGCCCAGTAAGGCATGATGTGTGTAAGTTTGTGTTGTGGGGAATGAGCAATTTCTCTGGGAAGTGATACTTAAATTTATCCACTCCAAAATGTTACCCTTAAAACACAGACACAATAATACTAACCAAAAAATGCAAATAAATTAATTTTAAAGATTAATTTCAAAAAAATTAATTTTAATTCACAGAAATCAAAACAAATATAAAAATGTGAAAGCAATAACATGTGGATGAAGGACTCCCTGTGACTTGAAGGTTCAGCTGTAGCAGGAAGACCTTGGTCCTTAGCATCTTCTGATACCATTTCTCCTCACACTCTCTCTTGCTTGTTCCCCTTGTCACTTTTGCTGCCTTTTGAGTCTTGAATATTTGGAACAAGCCCTACCATTAGGTACTTTGCATACTCTTTTCCCAATAGGGCACACTAGTCCCCCAGGGAAACTGATGTCTCTGTTTTGTCTTGCTTCAGGTCTCTTTTTCTCAGATCTTCCTGAACTCTCAGGAAACTGTAACATATCCATGCATGGTAAATTATACCTGCCTTTTTTCCCCATAACTTCTGTCACCACATGAGACTATATATATATATATATATTTCATTTGCTAACTTGTATTCTTTTTTCATCATTCCATTGTTGGAAGTTTTGTTCTTAGCATCTCACACATTTACCCTAGAAGATATTTGGTACTCAACATGAATTTTTAGCATATATGAAAGACATTTGCTTTAAAAATGTATAATCATGACCTCTTGGGGAAAAGGTGAGTGTTAGACAGGAATTTTTAATCACAGATGACACAATAGATTCCTTAAAGATGATTAAATATTGTAATTTGTAGCATTTTACTGTGTTAATGTGCACACATGTAGAAATTAATCATGCTATTTTTTTTTTCTTCTCTAGTTGTGATCATCATATGGTACAAGGAAATGATACAGGAATGGCACAATTTTTTCTTCTGGGATTATCAGAGGAACTAGAACTGCAGCCTCTTATATTTGGACTTTTCCTCTCCATGTTCCTGATCACTATGTTTGGGAATCTGCTTATCATTCTTGTCACCATCTCAGACTCCCTCCTCCACACCCCCATGTACTTCTTCCTCTCCAACCTGTCCTTTGTAGACATCTGTTTCATCTCCACCACCATCCCAAAGATGCTGGTGAACATACAGACACAGAGCAAAGTCATTTCCTGTGAAGGTTGCATCACCCAGATGCATTTTTACATACTATTTGTAGAGTTGGAGAACTTAATTCTAACTGTCATGTCCTATGACCGCTTTATAGCCATCTGTCACCCCCTGCACTATACAGTCATCATGAGCCCTATTCTCTGTGGACTGATGGTGCTGGTGTCCTGGATGATGAGTTCCCTGAATTCCTTGGTGCAAAGCTTACTGGTACTGAGACTGTATTTCTATTCAGTCTTGGAAATCCCCCACTTTTTCTGTGACTTGAAAGAAACACTCCGACTTGCCTGTTCTGACACCTCTCTTAATAACACTGTGATGTATTTTGCAGTTGGGCTCTTTGGTGCTATCCCCCTGGCTGGTGTATGTTACTCATACTCTAGGATAGTTTCCTGCATATGTAGAATCTCATCAGCTGAGGGGAAGTTTAAAGCATTTTCCACCTGTGCATCTCACCTCTCTGTTGCTTCCTTATTTTATTGTACGGGTTTAGGATTGTATCTTAACTCTACTGGAACCCACAGCTCACACCCAAGTGCAATAGCCTGGTGATGTACACTGTGGTCACACCCATGCTGAACCCTTTCATCTACAGTCTGAGAAATAAAAACATTAAGAGGGATCTGAGAAGATTCTTTGGAGTGGCAGCTATGAAAGGGCCATTTGTCCTGGGGCTGAGGAAGTGCTGGTAATTGCAGCGCTCAAAGCATTAGAGTCAGAAGTTGGGATTCTTGATCAGATTGTGGAAAGAGCACTTGTTCCTTATATTACTGCAGCCTCTTATATTTGGACTTTTCCTCTCCATGTTCCTGATCACTATGTTTGGGAATCTGCTTATCATTCTTGTCACCATCTCAGACTCCCTCCTCCACACCCCCATGTACTTCTTCCTCTCCAACCTGTCCTTTGTAGACATCTGTTTCATCTCCACCACCATCCCAAAGATGCTGGTGAACATACAGACACAGAGCAAAGTCATTTCCTGTGAAGGTTGCATCACCCAGATGCATTTTTACATACTATTTGTAGAGTTGGAGAACTTAATTCTAACTGTCATGTCCTATGACCGCTTTATAGCCATCTGTCACCCCCTGCACCATACAGTCATCATGAGCCCTATTCTCTGTGGACTGATGGTGCTGGTGTCCTGGATGATGAGTTCCCTGAATTCCTTGGTGCAAAGCTTACTGGTACTGAGACTGTATTTCTATTCAGTCTTGGAAATCCCCCACTTTTTCTGTGACTTGAAAGAAACACTCCGACTTGCCTGTTCTGAGGCCTCTCTTAATAACACTGTGATGTATTTTGCAGTTGGGCTCTTTGGTGCTATCCCCCTGGCTGGTGTATGTTACTCATACTCTAGGATAGTTTCCTGCATATGTAGAATCTCATCAGCTGAGGGGAAGTTTAAAGCATTTTCCACCTGTGCATCTCACCTCTCTGTTGCTTCCTTATTTTATTGTACGGGTTTAGGATTGTATCTTAGCTCTACTGGAACCCACAGCTCACACCCAAGTGCAATAGCCTCGGTGATGTACACTGTGGTCACACCCATGCTGAACCCTTTCATCTACAGTCTGAGAAATAAAAACATTAAGAGGGATCTGAGAAGATTCTTTGGAGTGGCAGCTATGAAAGGGCCATTTGTCCTGGGGCTGAGGAAGTGCTGGTAATTGCAGCGCTCAAAGCATTAGAGTCAGAAGTTGGGATTCTTGATCAGATTGTGGAAAGAGCACTTGTTCCTTATATGTATTGCCTGGCTTTTGCATTCTTTGATTTAAAATTCAGCATATAATTTAAGTAACTCAATTGATTAAGCTTTCTTAATAGCTGATGCGTGGACAATTTTCTATCTTTTTTCTATTTTTCTACTTTCCCTAAATTTTTCCCAAACATGAGTGAGAAATATTTGGAAATTTCCATTTATTTGGTAGGAAAAATTGGATTCCTTAAGGCCTTTATCTTAAGCAACATCCATCTTCTCAAGTATTTTTAAAAAATTCTTCTCTACTCAAGAGGAAAAACTGCCTTTGGCAGCTAAAGTAACTTATAGAATTCAACTGCAGAGTAAAGTCTGAAACCAATGTTTTGATTTGGGCTCTGTCGTTTTTCTGTATCATCAGTTTAACTGTCCTTCCTTATAATATCGACTTCATTCATGCCACTGAGTTCTACAACTGGTCTCTTGGTGTCATACAATTATTCAGCCTGTGTCTCCAATATCTACCATGTGTTGTTGCTGTTGTTGTTGTTTAGTCGCTAAATCGTGTTTGCCTCTCTTGCAGTCCCATGGACTGTAGCCTGCTAGGCATCTCCGTCCATGGGGTTTTCCAGGCAGGAATACTGGAGCATCCCTCTTGAGCCTCCCTCCCACACCATACTACTCCTCTAGGTTGTCACAGAGCACCAAGTTGAGCTCCCTGTGTTATTCTTTTTTGGCTAAAAAACTCCTGTGCTGCCTACAATTATGGCTTCTCTATTGGTCTGAACAAGGGATCTTCTCTTTTATAAATTTTGTCGTAATCAGTAAAGAATTAGAAACAGTGAAGGAACAATGGCCAGGTAAACCATTACATACCTGCTTCCTGCGCAGGAGTCTTCAACCTTTGTGGTCAAAGGATGACTCAATAATCCTTAAATTTTTTACCCAGTCTGTGATTCAGGGTCACCATTCATCTGTGCAGCAAGCATGTCCTTCCAACCTCCCCAAGTTCCCTGGAACAGAACCTTAAATGAGATCATTGATAATCCAGTTATTTGAAACAAGTTTAAACAATAATCAGGAATATTGTCTCCAAATCAACAGATATACTTAAAATAAAGAGCGGTAGACCATTATATCTGCTTTCATTGCCATTTTCATTGATTTTTATATCAGTTGGCAATTGCTGCATAACAAGCTGTCTTAAATCATATGGTTTATTAAAGTGCCTTTCATATCAAATGAGATTATATAGATGGTGATGTTCTGGTCCAGTTTTCAGATGCTCATAAGTCCACACAGCTGTAAGTCTCTACATTGTGTATGTTGTGTATGATCCTATCAACATAATGTGCTCACTCTGCACCAATTCGGAGTCTTCACAATAATGAATTCAAGACTACTAGACTTTCAACGAATCCCCAAGGCATAAACCATACTACCTTTGTCTATATTAGATACGGGTGTCTCCCACGTTTCTCCCTGATTCTTTTCCTTTCATATGTGAGCTTTCTCAGTCCAACTACAAACTGCCAGCTCCTGGAGTTCTTTGCCCAAGAGCTTCATCGGACAAAGAGCTTTGTCTGGTCAACCTCTGCCAACCTGCATGGCTATCTACTAGTTGCAGTGAAATAATACCCCCTGCAATGTACTTCTTTTCATACAGCACGTCTACACTTGACCTCTGCAAATTCATTATTATTAGTACTTTACCTGAAACATTGTCTGCTTTCAAGGTGATCTTTCCCAGGCAAGCTGTTCCACATCCATGTCTCTCATTGGAGGTGTCTGTCTTTCCTCATGTTTCAAACTAGTTGGTTTCTCAGGCATCATGCCTCCCCTGAGGAGGAACAGCTCAGTGCCATAAGTGGCTTTTGTGCTGTGATTTCTCCCCCCAAAAGTGAGAGCAAATGAGTGAGTGCCCAGCTTCCCCAGCTGTGCAGAAGACTCAGCTTTTTCATGCCCATCCAGAAAACTGACATGAGCTTCATGAGAAGGAAGTGGGGAGAGACTGGAAGAACAGCAGCTAAGACTCTTGAAAGGCATCATAGGTAAGCAGATTCTAACAACTGCATCATGAACTTCATTGGGAAATATTCTAAATGTGTTGATGATTGTACATATCTGTGAATGTGCTAAAATTGCTTTCATTGCCATTTTCATTGATTTTTATATCAGTTGGCAATTGCTGCATAACAAGCTGTCTTAAATCATATGGTTTATTAAAGTGCCTTTCATATCAAATGAGATTATATAGATGGTGATGTTCTGGTCCAGTTTTCAGATGCTCATAAGTCCACACAGCTGTAAGTCTCTACATTGTGTATGTTGTGTATGATCCTATCAACATAATGTGCTCACTCTGCACCAATTCGGAGTCTTCACAATAATGAATTCAAGACTACTAGACTTTCAACGAATCCCCAAGGCATAAACCATACTACCTTTGTCTATATTAGATACGGGTGTCTCCCACGTTTCTCCCTGATTCTTTTCCTTTCATATGTGAGCTTTCTCAGTCCAACTACAAACTGCCAGCTCCTGGAGTTCTTTGCCCAAGAGCTTCATCGGACAAAGAGCTTTGTCTGGTCAACCTCTGCCAACCTGCATGGCTATCTACTAGTTGCAGTGAAATAATACCCCCTGCAATGTACTTCTTTTCATACAGCACGTCTACACTTGACCTCTGCAAATTCATTATTATTAGTACTTTACCTGAAACATTGTCTGCTTTCAAGGTGATCTTTCCCAGGCAAGCTGTTCCACATCCATGTCTCTCATTGGAGGTGTCTGTCTTTCCTCATGTTTCAAACTAGTTGGTTTCTCAGGCATCATGCCTCCCCTGAGGAGGAACAGCTCAGTGCCATAAGTGGCTTTTGTGCTGTGATTTCTCCCCCCAAAAGTGAGAGCAAATGAGTGAGTGCCCAGCTTCCCCAGCTGTGCAGAAGACTCAGCTTTTTCATGCCCATCCAGAAAACTGACATGAGCTTCATGAGAAGGAAGTGGGGAGAGACTGGAAGAACAGCAGCTAAGACTCTTGAAAGGCATCATAGGTAAGCAGATTCTAACAACTGCATCATGAACTTCATTGGGAAATATTCTAAATGTGTTGATGATTGTGCATATCTGTGAATGTGCTAAAAAGTTAAATTGTACATTTCAGATTGGTGAGTTATATGGCATGTGAATTATATCTCTATAAAACTTTTTTAAAGATCCAACATTTTTTAAAGAAGAAAAAAGTAAACTATGGTTTGATATCCCTGATAAGTATACATGGAAAAAATGTAAACAAAACAGTGGTAAACCAAATTCTACAAACCATTAAAAGGATCATACCCCAGATTCGCATGGGGTTAACTCCTGGGCCACAAGAGCATTGTGCATTGAAGAATGTACGGCAGCATTCCTGGCCTCTACCCACCAGGTAGCAGTCGCACCTGTCCAACTGTAACAACCACAACATCCACAGAGAATCTCCAGTGTGCCCCAGAAGCTAAATCACCCCAGCTGAGATACACTGTCTGATAGCATGAGAACTGGAAATATCTTGAGGGACTTCCAATCAAAGCTCATCCCTTACTCAGTTCATAACTTTGGGCAGATCTCTGAGTTCTATTGCTGCAAGTGCAGAATGAGGTAGATCATAGTATGGATATCAGACAATGAATTTTCATGAGAAATAAGAAAATTAACTTTCATGAAAAATAAGACAATCCATATAATGCTCCAAGTTCAGCACATGGTGCATCATAAAAGCCAAACGTATAATATAATCAACATTAAAAAAATGTTAATGGCATCTCTTAATTTGCATCACTAACATGAATTTCCCAGTTGATTTTGCAAATGTATCATGAATCTAAGGTCTACAGTCCCAGTGTATCTAGAACAAAGGAACACATCTCTATCCCTTGTTGAGAAAGGGAATAGCAATTTTCTAGAGATGTCAGTAGATGTTCTCACCACAAGACAATACTTTGGAGGTCCATGTGTCCTACTCAAGAAAGTTTCCTCAGCCTTTGATTTGGAGAAACTGTCAACTTGAGGTTGTGATAAGGTGCAGTGAAGTCAGGGCTTTGGAAGCCAGATGAGTTCATGGAAAAGGAATAGTAAATCTGAACTCATCTGTCTTCTGATCTGGTCTCCTGGGGATAGAGAATAAGCAGGGGAAAAAATTCCTCCTGTCCAGACAAGAGTCCTATTGGATTATGATGTATTCAGAGGTGGGAGTAACCATGGAAACTGTGCCTAATGAGCAGACATAGAGAGCTATAACTGTTTCTCCACCTGCAGTCCCACAGCAAGGTTAACCGTGGGTAGGCAGGACATGATTGCTGTTTTTGTTGTTGTAAATCTGGCTGGAGAACCAATATTTCACTCCTTCCTGCCATCCTGTCTGAAGAAAGAGCTTCAATCTCCATCATCAACTATTCAGGGAAGAATCGGATTTCCACACTAAACTGTCAATTTCCAAAAATTGGAGAACTTCCACTCAGAGACTCTGTTCAGATGAGTCTGACAGTGTTAGGAACTTCAGGGAAGATTCAGAGGGAACATAAGTGGAGACTTTGGAGACCTCCAAAGTCACAGGAGAGTTCAGCCAGCCTAATCTATAGCTAAGAGATTGCCATGTTTTTCTAAGTGGACTAATATATTAAAAATTGACATGTTTAAAATACTAAAAATAGTGTCTGTGGACTGAGTGATACAAGGATAATTGTTGAGAATTAACTGATGGAAGTGGAATTCCAATTGAGTGAGAATGAAGAAGACATGGGAAACACAAAGTGGTTCCCATAAAATTAGAACATATCTGAGGTGTTTGGCAATTCAGAGGAGTAGGAAAACAGAATATTGAGCTTCAAGATGTGAACGGTGAAGTTTTTTCAAAAGAGGTGTATTTGAACATGTTCCATTTTTTGTGAGAATGATACAGACCCATGGAAGTACATAGTATGTTACAACAGC